AAGCTGAAAGAAGCGCAGAGGCCAGAGAGAAGTATTAATAAATGGAATCCTCGATTCGAACGTAACTGCTTACATAAGCGATTTATGGCGAGAATTGTCAAGAGAGAGAGAATGATAAAGTTGGAGATTTAGGAGATATTTTTGGGGCAGACAAAAAATGGGAGAACCCATAAATACATGAAATTAGATAAATTTTATGAAGTGAAAATGGTGATTGGGGGCCAACGGTGCAATTTTTCACAGCACCCTCTGCTGTATTTTTTAAGGACCATTAGATCATGTTACTTTAATCTAATGGTCCAAATTTTATCTCTTTTTTTTTAATCACAATCTTCAATACACTTTTTACTTTTTCTTTTTTTTCCTGAATACACTTTTCAGTTTTCACTTCCCGCTGCATTCTTTAAGCTATTTTCTCTTTCTTCTTTTTTGTTTTTATTTACAAATTTTAAACCTCTTTTTCAAGATTTTCTTTTTTGTTTAGATGTTGTTTGTACTTTGTAGGATTGATGCTATGAATGATGGAGAATTTAATTTAAGCTCACCAAATATTGATGATTTACATTGGAAGTGCTTTCAAATTGGAATGGAGTTTATTTCTATGGATGATGATTGATGCTTGGGTTATTAATAAAATTTCAAATATTAATTAAAATTTAATTTCAAAGAAGTAATATAATTGCAATACAGTTTTTAAAATAAAAAATATTAATCCATTAGTTTTAGGTAATATATAATTGAAAATATGAAACTTGTAAAATTTTGAATAATTAAACTTTTCAAAAAATTAGTTAAAAAAATTAGATTAAAAAACGTAACCAAACCAATGTGAGTTAGTGTACATATATTATTTGTAAAAGTCTAATATATCATTTTTTTTCCAACGACATAAAATTTTCATTAAAAATGCCAAATGGCAAAGTACACGAGCAAAGCCCGAATCCTGGGTAACTGGGAGGTTACAATAACACCAATGCAACCTACACGAAATTAGGGATGTCAATAAAACCCATAGGGTCGGGTTACCCACGGGTTACCCGCACTTTTGGGTCGGGTAAACCCGAGATGATTAGGTTTCGGGTCGGGTTAGGGTAGAATTATGCTACCCGAACCCCGAGTCGGGTCGGGTGCGGGTATAGTAGGCAAACTCATTACCCAACCCGATTACCCTACCCGTTTACCCGCAACCATTGAATCATATATACATACATATACATATATATATATATTTATAACTTATAATAAATATAAAAGTAGTCATGTGTATTTTTAAAAATTAGATTATCTATTATAATTTTGATTAAAGATTAAATTTATTTGATTTTTTATAATTCTTTTATCATTTTTTGTTAATTGTATAATAAAAAAATAAATATTTAAGTTTAATGTTATAATATTAAATCGATTATAAAAAATGAATAATCATATCTTATTATTTATTCCAAAAATAATATACTTTTTATAGTTTTTATTGTCAAACTTAGTTAGTAAATTATTTCTTACATTATAATTAATCGTGAAACTATTTTATTTTATTTTTTCATATGAAATGAGATGGGTCGGGAAAAACATAAATTTAAGACTCGGGTTACCCGTTTACCCGACGAAAACCCACTAAACCGCCGGGTAAAACCCAACCCGAACCCGAAGATCACTAGCTGGGTAACAGGTCGGGTTTGGGTAGGGTAAATTATATGCGGGTCGGGTTCGGGTTTACCAAAACCCGTACCCAACCCGACCCATTTACATCCCTACACGAAATAAAGCTCGCAACACGAGAATACCAACAAATACAAAACACAACCGAACCAACTATAAGACAACTACTAAAAAAGAGGACCCTCCCAACAGGAGAGTACTCGAGTGCGCTCCCAACAGGAGAATAAAGGTGCACTCGAGCCTACAGGGACAAACCAAACACACCAAAACACACAACAACAACAGAAAAATAACAAACTAACACAAACAACCAACGAGAAAAACAGATAAACCACAAAATGTGCAAAAATAAATAAACAAGAGCCCTTCCCCAGCGACTTGAATAGATCTCAACCAACAGATACCGACCGACACAAAGAGAACCTCGAGCCCGAGAACCGCTACCGAAACTGCACGAGCGCCTATACAGCAGGTGAACTCAACCCCCGAGACAATCCCAAAATCGACCCGTCCCCAACCGGAGAGAACCCACAGCCGACTCCCTACACCAGAGCTGTCCGAGTTCATCTAACACCACTAGCTGAACTCGCCAGCCCCAGCACCTCTCCGACCCCAGCACCAGAGGACCAAAAGGGAGGAGACGGCGGAATCCCTCAGCTCCGACCGCCACAACGGAAAACCATCGAGACCATCGAAACCTAATGCCCCCCACCGGCCCACACCCCAACCAAACACGACGCCAACAACACCACTGTGACGCCCTCACCAACAGCACCCACGGACCAGAACGACGACCCGATCTCAGAAACCCCTCCTGGAAAAGAGAAGGACGGCTAGCGACTACCATCTCCGAAACTGCCAAAAGGAGCCAAAACCGAGGCAATCGACGTAAGGGAGGGCAAATCGGTCGAGGACGACTGAAGGCCGGAGCCCCGCCGTTGCCGGAGAAGGCCAAGCAGAGGCGAAAGAAAAGGAGCTGCGCCGACGGGTTTTGGGAATTAGGGTAGAAAGGGGGTTGAGCTTAAACCTTTTTTTTTTTTAGGGGTTCAATTTGATTCCTTTCTAATATATCATTTAGATAATATATTAAGACGTTTTCAAAAAATATTAATCCATTGCGTTTTTAGGTAAACTTTTTCAAAAAATTGATTCTTATATTAAATTTTTAAACCCTCTGTTTCTAAGTGATTTTACAAATTTGTTACATAAAATACTTGGATTAAAAAATATAATATGAATATGTAAAACTATAATATTATGAGCAATTAATTAAATGTTTAAAAATACAACAATTTCACTTTCATATAAATTCAACTTAAGGATTTTAATTTAATACTCCCTCTGTTTCTTTTTAAGTGTCTTTTTAATTTAAAACTTCTAAATTACTATTTTTATGGGTTGTGTAATTATCTTATATACTAATCTTTTTAAATTTAGTGTTTGAAATTATTAATGGGCCATTTTTAAAGATAATGATAAGAAAGAAAGTTTTTAGGTGATTTTTTAAGATTTGTTGAAGTGGATAAAGTTGAAAAGTTGATAAAATATTTTCAATGACAACTAATTTGCAAAAAACTTGATATCCCACAACAACGACATGTATAAAAAACAGAGGGAGTAGTTTATACAAGTTTGTGATGTGTTTTTTAATACGATTCTCTATTGTCTCTATTTTAACATGATCCAATGGCATTAAAATACACAGTAGAGGGTGCGGTGTAAGTTTGCACCGTTGGGCCTTCGAATCCGTGAAGAACAGGTAATGAGGCACTTGTACAGTTGACAGGCTATAGCATGGCTGTCTATCAAGCAACCACCAATATAGACTATAAAATTCTCATTTTATTTTTATGATAGCCTAACCAAATATTGGAAGCCAATAAGCAATAATAATAAACATACGTTTTATATGAAAAGTCCAAAATAAGGATACCGATTTTAATGGCAATATTTTTTATTTTTATTTTTGTGTGAATAAACTTTTCTTTCCAAGATTCTAATTATTGATAATTATTCATATAAAAAGATAATTTTTAAAAGGATCTAGATTATTATTATTATATATTAATATGACATGCTGCTTAAAAAAATATAATTAAGAGTGATATAGCGACATTAAGATTTTGGTTAGGATCGTAAGTAAATTTATGTTTATTTTATTACTAGCAGCCTACGACTGTACCATGCACAGCCAGCCCACCGTGATAACTTCTTATTATTTTTTTAATGATTGTATCATGATTTTTGTAAATGAGGCAATAGGATCATTGCATGTAATATGAAGCATTTAACAGACATGTTATTTTTAGAACTTATGTACAACCCTTTTGTTTCATAAGGGGTTGGCAAAAAGCATGCCAAACACAATGTACAGACAAGCGATATTTAGAGAATACAACTGATATTGTTTCATTAGTGGCAAAAGGAGTTGCTGGCAAAAGGAGTTGCTGACAAAAGGAGTAGCAGTAACGTTTATACGTTATACATAACCATTCTAAAAACCAGAATTCTGAAACATCTAATTGCAGCCAATTGATGTTGCATAATTCTAGTATTGTACGGTAAAAGCAAACCGATAGGTCTACCTACATGAACAAAAGTTTCAAAAGCAACAGTGTGAGGCTTCTTTAGAGGGCTTTTGTCAGTGCTCTTTTGAGGGCTCTTTTGACCAGAAGGCGTATCAAATCCCAGTGTAGATGAGCCTGCAACCTCTGCCTCCAAGCTTAGACGCTTTTTGATTGTTTGATCCGCTGCAGGTGTGGTAGCTGGTTCTTGGATGACGAAGCTCTTGCGGACTCGAGCATTTGTTTTGTTGAAGGCGTGAAAAACTGCTTTTCAGAAGTATCCTGATAGAAAGAAAACGATGTATTATGTGAATTGAAAAAAAACAAAGAACAAAAGGTGAATGAAATTTTATGAACATCAAATATTCAACTCAAAATATAGTAAAGTTACACATAATAATAATCAATTTGTATTGTATGTAATGATTTTAAGCTGAATTTTAACAACCTCAGCCACTTTAAATGCACAAGTGTTTTATCATATATCATTTTAATAAAGAAATGGAAAGCAGGATGAAGAATGAGAATACAGAACTTATGGTTATGAAAGTTTGGTGTGTGAAGTTAAATGAGCACATTACTTTTGATGAGACTGTTTCTGGTGTTTGTTGTGCATTGGATTGTTCGGTAACAGTTGCGTGGGGTTTCATCAGCTCCTGTTGGTGTACAGTTTGACCACTTTGCGCGTGGCACAAGTTTGAGATGAGTACTCTGGCTCATAGTATTTGATATAGCAGGTGATATGTTGGCCTTTGATAGCTTGTGCAAATTCTGGTATTAAATCTTTTCCCTGAAACATTATATAAAGCATTATTTAATAATGAAATTTAAATGTTGGCACAACTTTTATTAAAAAAGTACTGGTAAAAAAATACGTATAAACTTGTTGTTCAGAGGTGTACATTTGGATGCCGTTGAATGGAATTAATTTTTCTGCATCTTCACCATAGGCAATGACATTTACAATGCCGGTACCATCATTGATTGCTATGGGTATACGACACCTGAAAGATATTTATTCATGACATTAATCACCTTATTTTTACAATAATCATATTTTTTTATATTAACAAATCTAATGTGATGTTTTTTGTACCTTGCTTCGATGTATGCCTCTTTTTGACAACCCCTACATTTGATGGCAGTATCATGGGGCACATTGTAAGTTTTGTGGCAGTTGTTGCATGCAGTGTACCATAACGCTCGATTTCCTACAACAAAGTCAAGTCGGCCACTAATCCAGCAAGTCTTGATCTATTAACCAATGGTTGCATATTTAGTTAATACATATAGTAATTTATTAGATTTCATATTCAACTGGTGAACATGACTTACATAAACTCATAAATGAATCCGAAGAATAACTGAGTCACAAAACAGAAAAGATAGAATACTTTATGGTAAGATATCTTCAATTCCACTATTTTCAATCAATTAACTTTAACCAGAACAACTTCATTTTAATTTCCTATAGACAACTAATTTAAAATACTGACGACTGAATATGAAATATCATTCCTGGATATTGAAGCATGATAACACAATGATGATTTCGTGCAAAGACCTGAACAATGCCATTATATGTACTATGAAAACACATACACCAGTTATGCAAATGTATTTTTAAAACATGAATTAACTATGTTATTGCATCAGGAATTTGTCTACACGTCGCAAAATCTATGCGTGCATAACCATGTCAACAATACTATTAAGTCTTAAAAGGTGTGTGTTACTGTATCCAAACTCATTAACCAAACAACAGTTAGATATTTCCGCATAAGGCTTTAACTAATTTGAACAACTCTATTTATTTATAGAAAACTAATGAATAAGTTGAAAACAGTAATTAATCCAACAGAAGCTAAATGAAATTATAATTGATTATATGTACTTTTTTTTTTTTTTTCGAAACGATAGGGATAACTATTATAAAACTCAAAAGCGAACATAGTTCGAATACAAGGTCCAAAGAGAAACAAATGGAACGAAAAAGTGAGAGACACGCTAAACAAAGCGGTCTAAAGCTTCAACAACCTAACAATAACAAATCCAGCAACAGAACCAAGCCAAAACAACAGGAACTAACCAGCACAATACTAAAGCAAAGACAGGAAACCAAAGAAACCTCCAGCCACTGCCATAAGGCCTAGCAAGGAGGATCCAAGGGACTAAGCTAAAAAAAGAGAACTGAAAAACCAAAAAAAAACAGAGAGACTAATCCAAGGAGGAGAATTCCAACCAGTCAGATTGGGCCATCTTCACTAGAGTGTGCTCTGGGATCAATGTTTGTTGGAACAACCACAAATTTAAAGTTGTAAATTTAGCATTTACATCATTCGTGTCATTATATGCATTGGTATTGTGAAACAATAGATTTAAATTATTTATCTTGTTCGCCGTACTTGAGAAAAAAATAATATGTACCATTAACACAAAATATCTTAAAAGGTTTTTAGGAAAAATAGTTGCATTATAAAGAAAAATCGATAAGATTCATGTGGAGAATAAAATAATATATTTAAAATTGTCGTACATTTTTTATTGCATTTATTTACAATTGAAAAATAGCGACGAAGTAAGAAGTTAGGATTTTTCTTACATTCTTGATCGTTCTCAGTGCATTTTGAATGCTGATAATGTCCGAATGTTTGGGAGGCGGAAATAGGAAATTGGTGTTTTTATATGCCTCCTCACTTACAAGGCGTGCTACATCGTCCTTGTTGTCAATGTACCTGTGCAAGTTTTATTCACATCTATGCATGAATGTGATTGTTTAAAAGTATATTCAAGTACAATTAAACTGTTAGATACCATTGTTTCAAATCAACTGTTGCTGCCATTGGTGGATTGATTAGTAAGCAAGTGTCCGACTTCTGTTGATAAGGATAAGCCTGTACAAATTCCACAATCGGCAATTAATAAGATATTTTTGTACAACAGCTGTTAAATTTTATATTTTGGTCTTTAAATGGTACGTTACCATAGAATGTGCCGACTTTAACTCTCATAGTCAAAAGAATGTTGCCTGCCGACATTGAAGTTTCGAGTTGCTGACCCTCTTGCGTCTCAAATTGATTCCATAATGTTAGCAACAATGGTTTTTTCCTATCATGAAATATGCATAAGTTGAAAGATAAGTTAAAATTAGCAGCATTTTATTGAATTTTATGCTTACACTTCATTAATTATGACCAGATCTCGTGATGTGTTGTTTTCTCCAGACTTTTTCACAGGTAGAGCATGAACAACAACGCCAAAGTAGGCCTGTAATTCTGTAATTGATCAATTGGTAAGTACGGGACAAAAATAATAATTAAATTTAGCAACATGCATAAGCATACCACTTTTTTTTTTCCTTCCTTCAAATAACACTTACTCTTCAAATGTCCGGTGTCTGCAAATTTGTGCAAGTCTTCGAACCTATGAAGTTCAATATGGCATGGAAACTGTGGTGGTATACTTTCCATAAAGTCCTCTGCATAAGTGCCATTCACGAGGAGCCAATTGTAATCATAGTCGCCTACTTTAAATGAAGCTTTCTCCGGAGGAGCAATTCCTGTTAAGTAGTATCTTTTGTACGGGAGGAGCATATCCGTGAATTGATTAATGACGTGGTTATAGGCAACTGCGGAAACCTTAGTGCCCTAGTAAATATATTTTTTTTATTATAAGTCAGGAAGATGTGATGGTTTATTATCATAGAATTAAAAACTGTACTTTATTAAACTTCAAAATGAAATCTTTTAGCCATACCTCTTCATCAGTAAATAAAAATCTACGGTACAGGACTGATGAATCATTTTTGCTTGTGTTCACATGGGTTCTTTCCACGACCTGTATTAATGTCGTCCAATTTTTGGTCTTGTCGTTTAACTTTTTGATAGGCAGGCTGATCCTCGACATTTTCGTCAGCTGCATAGATATAACAACCGAAGAGTTAACAGGTATATTATATACAAATAGTTATGCAAGCCGTAATAAATGCATAAGATAAATAAAAATTTTACAAATGTATGTTTTAATAAATAAAAAAACAAAAAAAAACAGCGGAGTAATTTACATTGTATTATTTGTGCGGCTTCAACGACTTCATTATATACAATGTTTTTGGTGTAACAAAGTTTATCTGGATCATGAAACGGAGGTTTGATCACAAATTTGACTGCAGAAGATGTTTTTGCTCTTGATAACGCCACATATAATTGTCCATGAGAAAAAAACATGTTCTTTTAGGTAAATTCCTACTGATTCCAAAGTCTGTCCTTGGGCCTTGTTAATTGTCATTGCAAAACATAAACGTATTGGAAATTGAGTTCTTTTGCAAGGGACAGGTACTTGGTCCTCAGTCGAGGGTAGTAATGGTATTCTGTGAATAAAAACGTTTTTGCCTTTGAATTCGCCCACAACTATTTCTGCATGAATGATATGTTTACTTAAGCTTTTGCAGATCAAGCGTGTGCCATTGCACAATCCTTCAGCGGGATCTAGATTTCTAAGTAATATAACTGGGGCATTTACTTTTAATTGCAGTTTGTGGGGCGGCATTCCTCCTGGTGTTAAAGAATTTATAATGTCCTCATAAAGGCCTTTGTGGATAGGATTAATAACCTCATCAAAACTAAAATACTCATCTAATTTTCCAGGAAAATCATGAATTAATCTATCATTTATCTCATCTACAAAACAGTTTTTAGTAGCCCAAAATTGCCCTGTTCATTGGAAAATTGGGCAAAATGTTATCCTGTGTGTTTGTTGAAAATCTTGGATAAATGACTTCTATAAGTTCTTGAAGAGCTGCCTCTATATCAGAATTCTCATTTACCAGTGACGATGGTAACTTTATTAACTTGTCATCATGTGGGTTCCCTTATTGTTTCCCACTTTTAATAAAAAAATTGTATATTGTGGATCTAAACGTGCCCGCATATTATCTGTAAGTTTGATTTTTTTCTAGTAAGGGCCAAACATATGAATTTGTTATGCATGCATCTATAGTATCATTTTTATTTCCTTTACGAACTACTGGAAGTATTTTCCTGAAATCACAGCCAAAAACAACAACTTTACCGCCAAAAAGCTCTGATGAATCTAATAAATCCTTGAGTATATCATCAAGAGTCTCTATTGATTTTCTTTTAGCCATCGGAGCCTCATCCCATACAATTAGTTTAATTTCACGTAGCAACTTAGCTAGATTGCTCTGTTTGCTTATTTTACAATCTTTGCCTTTTGATATGTCTATAGGAATTTTAAATCTTGAATGTGATGTTCTACCTCCAGGTAATAAGGATGCAGCAATGCCTGAAGTGGCAGTTGCTAAGGCTATATATCCTTTTGACCTTATATCAACAAGTAAAGCTCGATACAAAAACGTTTTTCCAGTGCCTCCTGGGCCGTCAATAAAAATTGATCCCTGTTTATTATCGTAAACACGACTCCGAATGATTGAAAATGCCTTTTTTTGTCCCTCGTTTAACAATGCAATGGTATTCAAATCTTCTATTGTAACAATAATGTTTTTTTTCTGCTAAAAGCTCTCTGTTATTATCCTCAATATTAAAGTTAAAATTGTCAAGTATAATATTGAAAGAATGAATGCTCCTTCCCATTGATTCTAAAAAACCATTAATCTGTTCCAATACTTTATACGAACACTTTCAGATGATAAATGCAAATGTCTTGAAAAATCTTCAGACATAACATCCTCAAACTTAGAAAAAAAGTTCTTTGAGATTGTTTGGACAAGAATAAACAAGTAAGTTTGCAAATAATCTTCTCATTTCGTATGGCATTTTAAAAACAGTTGCTTCCTGTTAGGGCTGAGCATGGGACTCGGAGAATTTTAAACCGTTCCGAACACCGAACCGAAATCACCCCGAACCGAAAAATAACCGTTGACCGTTTGACTTTCTCCGAACCAAACCGAACCGAAAAAATAATTGGTAGTTCTGGAGATTTCACAAATATCCATACCGAGAACCAAACCGAACCGTCCCGTACTGTACCGAATCGAAAACCGAAATTAAGAACCGAATTATAACATTACATTTGTTATTAATATATTTTATGTCAACTTTGATTCTATATAATATAGTAATAAATATTAACCTTCACTTAAATTTCATGCTTAGTAATACTTGAGATACAATTGAATTTTTTCTATTATAAAATAATTATTTAAAATAATATAAAAGTTTAAAGAATATCTTTTAAGAAAAAAATACTATATTTTATTTGAATTTTAAATTTTCAATATTAGTTGCACAAATTTAGTTATAACTAAAATTTAGAGTTACTTATAAAGTTGATTTCAAAGTAAAATCTTTAATGTGAAGAAGTACTGATGAATAATGTTGGTTTTATTAAAGCATATAAAAATTAAATAACTAAAATTTAGAGTTATTTCTAGAATTGATTTCAAAATAAAATCTTCAATATGATGAATTATTGATGAATGTTGTTTTTTTAACGCATATAAAAATTAAAATATAACTAGGTAGTCATTCAAAGATAATTTTTAAGAAATAAAAAATCTCCGAATATACGAACCAAACCATACTGAACTGAACTGTCCCAATAGTCCCGAATACTGAACCGAACCGAAAAATAAAAATCTCTGAACCGAACCGAACCGATTTTTTGGTACGGTTCCGAAGATCGAATTTTGGGATCTCCGAAGTTTGGTACAGTTCTAGAGATTTATCAATATCCGAACTGTACCGACCCACGCTCGCCCCTACTTCCTGTAGACATAGTTCTTGACTATTGTCATCATTTAGCAATCTTCTTAAAAGTGTCGCCTCACGTGATGTTATTGCTACTTTTCCGTTAAAAGTATGTAGATCCTTAAAGGATGTAGCAGTCTTGTAGCTAGGCCCGTGTTTATGGTTTTAGAGTTATCAAAACCGGACCAGACCGGCCGGTCCGACCGGCTGAACCGCGAACCAGTCCCTTTACCGATTCGGTTATTTAGATCAAACCGGCCGCGAACTAGTCCCTTTACCGGTTCGGTTCTTTAGATCAAACCGGCTGCCAGCAAAACCGGTCAAAAGCAGGTCAATGGCCGGTTGAACCGGTTAAAACCGACCAAAACCGGTCAACAACCGTACAGTTAGATCACCCAGTGTCGCTTTGGTTTGGTGAAGAAAGTAAATTGTTACATATATATATAATGCTACTTACTTACTACGTAAAGCGATGTAGGACAAAAGCAGGCAAAAAGAATTCCAAACTTCTAATTGCTAAACGTTTGGTGGAGAAAGTATCTTTTTCCATAATTTTAAATTATGTTTTATACTTTTTATAAAACACACACACACACAAACACTTTGTTATAAGTTTCTAGTTAATAATTGTATGTTGCAATTATGAAAAATCATCAAAAATTGCACCTCATTTTAAATAAAAAATCATCAAAAATTTCTTATGTTCTATGACTAAAAATTTTGATTATAATCATGTAAATGAGTTTATTAGTATTATATATTTTCAAATATCAATAAATTAAATAACTTAAAATTAAGTTAAATATATTTATGAAATATTATATATTTAAAAATATTAATAAATAAAATAACGGTTCAACCGGTTCAACCACTGGTCGGACCAGTGAACCATTGAACCAGTAGCTCGACCGGTTCAATGATCGGTCCGGTTTTGAGAACATTGGGATGTAGGACCTCTAATGAAGTAGCAGAAGTTTAAGATAGTATTTATCCCCCTCATTTGGATGCACTGATACTATTCTAGCTATAGAGTCTCTACCACTTATTTCTTTCCATTTTTTTTCATCAGGAAGCCAAACAAAGTGTTCTGGGAATTCTATGTACAATAAATTTAGCTTTTTTGCAGTTTCGTTTGTTCTATTCATATAAAAAAATTCTGTCAACATTGTTTTATGATTTCTTTGATTATTAACTATTCTATGTAGCCTATCTTGTTTTCTAAAACTAATTGTCTGATAGTTTTCTAAATGCACCGGTAAGTTTATGACGGCTGGTTTTATTTTGCTAATTGGGAATAGAAAAATTCTCTACGCCGCCTCTGGTGGAGATACCCAACGTGTTGTCCTATATTGCTGTATTTCATCTATCTGTACATCTTGGCTAGTAGTATCTATATGAAATGCTATTCTATCATGCCTTTGCAAATGTATTTATATATGTATTTAACTGCTCGTATTATGGAACCAATTTTCACATTAATATGACAGTTAAATTTTGCAAGTATGGATTATACGGCACGACCCATCTATTGTCCAACCTCTCCCCTCTAACCTTTACAAAAATAGTATTGTTACAACGCCTGTATTTGGATATGAATTATTTACTTGAAGAGTGCGCTCAAAGAAAGTTTTTGGATAATTGAATCTACAATTGCCTTTGGTGGCCATGCATGAGTTTAATGGGTTAGCCTCTCCACAAGGTCCATGCATCATGTGTTTCTTGACCATTTTATACAAATGGGGAAAAGCATTTTTATCAGGTATTTCGGCACTAACTATTTTATCATATTCATCAGTTATGTACATCTTGCTTTCTTTTGATAAAATTATTAAAAAGTGTGAATGTGGTAGACCTCTTTTTTGAAATTCTATCACATAAGTATATTCAATTACTTTACCAAAAATATTTCTTTTAAGAATGTCAATTTTTAATTCTTCAAGTTTTGCACGAAATACTCTACTAATTAAGTCTGGACGGTTTTGCGATTCTTCATTTTCTTTTAGTAAGTCTTTTATCTCTGGCCAATTAGGATTGCATGTGATTGTAAAAAATATATCAGGTTTGCCAAACCTTTGAACCAAGGCCATTGCATCTAAATATCTTTTTTTTCATATTTCTAGGCCCACCAATAAAGCCAGCTGGTAAAAAATTCTTTTGCCTATTTTGGATGCATCAGTT